ATTTTGTTTTTTTCTTTAAGTTTTTTTTAGGGCCTTAGGACTCTCTTGGGCTAAGATAGGTAAGGGCAAGAATGCATCCCGTTGTGTATATACCTGCAAATACTTAAAACGAACTTGAGGGTGCGACGTCTAGGCTCACGTGTAGACTCTTAATCTTATGCCTTAATTTTGCACACCTTGTCTTACTTGAACGCTCACGAGAGTGTGTTGACAAACTAATTCGGAATGAGTTACATGCCAAGTGTGTGTGAGGTAATACATGTATTCTATGCTTGCATGCGATACCTAGAACTTGTCCGGTGTGTGTGCAAAGCGAAATATAAGTTGTTTGGTCTTAGAGATGATTTAGGCATTTCTTTGTGTAGCCTATATAATTGTGAATCCACCTGTACATATTACCATAGTTAACCGCTTTGAGCCTACAATCCTTTTTCTTTGGCAACCACATTACATGCCTTACCCATTTGTTTGAATTAACCATCTATTTGAACCTCTTCACCTCTCATGAGCACTTGATTTGTTATGAACCTTGTAAAAGTTAAAGTGTGGGGTGGTCGGTTTGGCTTTCGACTGGAACTAATTGAATAAGGAGAAATGTGCACTGTTTTGAAAAAGAAAGAGCCACTTGAATTGAAAAAAAAAAACTCCTCGATAAGTGATGGCTCTTGACGCAATTGTGCTTAAAGAAGAATGGGGTAGTTACATTGATGTGAAGGTAGAATTTGGGGTGACATAAGGATGAGGTTTAATTGATAAAATGTATGTATTAAAGTGCTTAGGGAGGTGTAGTCACTCTCATATTTAAATGGATCCTACCCGTCCGTAGCCTACATTACAACCAAATGAAGCCCATTGATCTTAGACTGAACAACGTCGATTAGTAGAGTATTACCCGTAAGGGCAAGCTTATGGTGTATCTGTGTGGCATATGAATGTTCTTTGCTGAGAGTGAGTGAATTTGTTCTATCTACAGTTCCTTGTTGTTTGATTTCATGTGTGCGGAACTTCTCTCAAAAATCTGATGTGAGGGCATTTAACTCAAGAAGAAAAAGCAAGTCTTCACTTCTGTGTAGAGTACATAGAGTAAGCATGAGTGTGGCATGGCATTAGAGTCTTCATCTGAGGTGTGGTTGTTGCACTGCTTAGGTTGTTCCTTCATAATGAAGGATGTGACAGAAACAGGGTAATGCATCAAACGATTAGGCCTAGAAGTGTGGTTCAACTTGCTAGGACGAGCAAAGATTTAAGTGTGGGGTGTTGATAATAGGTGAATTAGACTATAATTAGGCCCTAAAGAACCACATTTTTGTATAGCTTTATGGTAAAAAAGTGATAACCAAATGCTCTGATTAGTGCTTTTTCATGCTTTGCAGGCTATATCCAATAAAAGAAGTCTGTGGAGTACTTTTGGGATCAATTACGGAGAAAAGGAGGCCAATCATACAATACCACAAAGTGCACCAAGCGAAGGGACAAAACCAGAACTGAAGCTGGCCTGCTGCTGTCCGGGCGTAACCGCGGTAGGACCGCGGCAGAACATTGCTGCAGATTCAGAGGACCATTCTGGCCGCGGTCCTGGCGTAACAGCGGTGGGACCGCGGCAGGACGCAGAAATTTCAGGGACTAAAGTGTCAAGTCGGGAAAACTTGGTGTAAAACCCTTATAAGATGTAGAAATTCGGCCACATTAGGGCAGGCTTGATTTTGAGATTATTTTGGAAGAAAAACAAGTGTGAGAGATCACCCAAAAATATAATAGTTCTTTATCTCTTCTTTTTCTTGCTATTTTCGATTATGAATGTTTTTGTAGTTTATCCTTTCGTTGTTATGAGTAGCTAAGTACTTTAGTCTAAGGTTTTGATGGAACCTGTTGAAGGATGAGCTTCTTGATTATGTTAATATAGTTTTCCAGTTAATCTCTATTTGTTCAACTACGTGTTTGTTGTAGTTAATTGACAGGATCCTCAATTAGCTGTGCCTATTTAGTGTGCATAACTCGGAAGAGAGTGCATATTTAGGTAATTGTTGAATAACACCACTCCCAAAGTATAAGAGGGATCTACAACTGCGGGTTTAAAGGCGGGATTAGGGATAACGAAGCCTTGGGTGCAATCTAAAGTGAGCTGTAATAAACAAAGTCAGCTAGCGTATCTCGGTGGAGTGCGTCTAGTAAATTATAGCGATTACTCGGGAGAGATTTACGGTAAAAAGAATGCTCATGATTGATAGAGATGTTTTGGTGAATCTATATGAAACATAACCGGAAGGGATTCCATCAATAGGGGAAATCACTACCTTAGAACATTCTCATTATTGTTTATAACCCAAGCATATTTAGTTTACAGCTGTTTATTTACTTTCAATCTTAGTTATTAGAAATACCATCAAATATTATTTACAACGTTTGGGGAAGTTGATTATAAAGAATTTAGTAAGTCCAACAAAAGTAATTGATAGGTTAATTCTCTGTGGATTCGACTCTGGGCTTAAATACTCAGGTTATATTTGCAACGTCCGCGTGTCCTTTTATAAGGCATAGTTGGGCGTGATCAATAATTCTGTTCTTTTCACGTTTATTTGTTTCCAAAACTTTATGATTTAGATACTGTTGGCAATCTGATTATTTTATAGTTGTATGATTATAACAAAACTAATGAATCCACGACGAAAAAACTTCAGCTTATTTAGTGCTGAAATTTTTACAAATGAACTAAATAACTTCAGCATCTTCTGTTGAAGTTTTTGAACAAGCTTTATGATAAAACTAATGAATCCAGGACAAAAATTTTTCAGCTTATTTAGTGCTGAAGTTTTTACAAATGAACTAAATAACTTCAGCATCTTCTGCTACAGTTTTTGAAAAAGCTTATCCATGACAAAAAGAACTTCAGCTTATTTAGTGTTGAAGTTTTTATAAATGAACTAAATAACTTCAGCATCTTCTGCTGAAGTTTTTGAAAAAGCTTAATGACAAAACTAATGAATCCAGAACAAAAAAACTTCAGCTTATTTAGTGCAACACTTGGTTCAGTACACTTGCTACTTCAGGCCCGTCTACTGGAATGCTGAAGTTTTGCGTGATTGCCTTTGCTACTTCAGCCCCGTATGCTGAAATTACGCGAAAAAGTGGGTACGCTTGTAATTTTTTTTGCAAAGCGGGCACAAGTTAAAACGCGACCCAAAAGTGGGTATAGATGCAAATCCCCCTACTTATTTTGTCCTGAAAATTTGAACTAAAAATCTTAACTTCAGGACTTTGTGACCTGAAAATTTGATCTGAAAAACTGAAAATCGGGACACACTAGCTAATTTCTAAATAGCAGCCCTCTAGAATGACTACATGGTGTCATTTCTAAATCAAATTTTCAAGTGAGAATAGCATGGACTAGCCAGTTTTCGGACTGGTAATCGAAAAATAGCAAGCATTTGCAAAGTCATTGAAAAATAACCACTATTTTATGGAGAGATAAAATCTGAACAAAAATACCCTATCTGAAACACGAAAAGTTCCAACATAATATGCTGGATTATGAAGCTTCTGCATATAAGCTTCTAGCATATTATGTTGGAACTAAAACACATTATGATAGAATCTCATGCGTAAACAATTCAATCTCCAGTATATTATGCTAGAATTTTTCCGAATTTTTCCGGCTGTTCTTGTTCAAATTTTATCGTTAGATAAAAAAATGGCCAAAATTTCGATTACTTTTGAAATCGTGACTATTTTCAATAATCAATTGTAAATCAGGGTATTTTTTATTTTTTCCCCAATTTTCAGTGGCAAAGATCACTTTTAGCCTGCAACTAAAACTATTCACATTTGGCAGCGGCAAAAGTGTATAAAATGTGTATATGTTTATATATAACATACAGAAGTACATATATATTTATACTGGCTATTTATGTAGCCGACTATTTGTGTAAAAATCAGAATTTCAATAGAGAATGAACCTTTTATCCTCCAAATAGCCCATTTATCAAATTCCATCAGACTTTTGGGATTTATACCTTGTGCTAGAACTTTCTAAGTATGAACAGCCTGACAAAGAGGTCTATTTTACATAGGTAAAACTAAGTTGAAACTAATTATTCACAACCTGTCAGCTTCATTACATTCCACTTGAACTGAATTTCAAATGTGGAAGCCATTTGCAAAATGGCCATGCAAAATAGAAGGTTATAAAAGACAAGTTTATGCACACAAAAAAGGGCTATGCAACCTGTAGATCACCTTTTACGGGCTCTTTTTCTTTCCTTTGTTACCATCTCAGATTGATGGTCCTCCTTTACCAGAGATTTAGGTCGTGTAGCTTCGTGTCCTGGTACTTTAGTCAATTGATTAACTGACTCATCAACCATAGCAAGCTTGAACTTTCCACGTCGCTTGAAGCCTTTCTTAGCAGCTAACAATGACTGCAATGGAACCTCGGAATCAGCATCACTTGATTTAAGATCATTTCCTCCTACAGTCCCTGCAATACTATTTACATTGTCGCAAGACTTGGCTTGAAGTTTGTCTTTGGAGGGGCGAGAACGAGCACTTCTTGGCTTCACAAGCAGATTACCTATCGTCGAGAATGTGAGCAGGGAAGAAGTAGCTTTGTGGTAAGAGCTCTTATAATGATCTCTATATGCTTTAGTGACAATGTCCCTGAGGTCCATCGCTGACTTGTATTCTCTTGTCCTCTTCGAGTAATATACAATGGCATTATTTGTTAGCAAAAGTAAATCTCTAAAAAGTTCACCTGCTGATTTGATGGAACCATTGGCTAATCTTAATCTTACTGTTTCAATATCCACATGCTGCCTGATAGTATTCTTGTATCTAGCTCTCTTTTGACTATCGTGACGATGCCTAAAGATCATAGCAACTTCAGAATGTGTAATAGAATTGAAAATTGCCATCAAATCATCGTCCCTCAATCTTGATAATCCTCCTTTACTATCCTCAGAGGCGGTAAGCTTAATACTTTGGTCGCAACTGGTTGATGTGTCTTTACAGTGTGATGTGGAGATGCCACTGATTGAAAACACATTGTCACTTTCCCCAATGCTCACTTCTTTGCTATCTAATGTAGCATCTTTCCTTTTTCTCTTACCTCTTCTCTTCCTCAAAACTCCTCCATTTCCGTTGGCACTCTCTACTGGCTTGTTTGTACTTGGAACTTCATCACGCTCACAAGACTTGGAGCAGTCTAGCCTTGAATCTATCTCTTTAGTCGAGGCTACAGCAGGACTCTGAAACTCGTGTGAAGAATTGGTCCTGGTATCTAGTGTGAAGCTGCCAGCAGATACACCATCTTTGCCAAAAGACTCAATGTATTCTGACTTTACAATAGCAGCGGCTGATTCAGTGTGACTGGAACCATAATCTATCTGAGCAGACCGTTCTCTCTCTGCCTTAAGGCTTTCAATCTTTGTGAGGAGAGACCTGAGATCAAACCCATAAAATGGAGCTACAAACTTAAGTGAAAGGACATTAGAGTTTGAATCAGAGAATACCTATTAAACTGCAGAATGAAAGATACACACTCAGTATAGTCAAGAAACTTCATATGCGATGTATTTGAGTGGCACCAGCTTAAGATAGAGAAGCAATATATATTTACTAACCCAATTGAGCATTCAGATTTCTGCAGTTCTCGCTTCAGTTCTTCAACTCGTCTCTTTCTTAGCTCTTCAAACCAAGCACTAAGCAAAAGAAAGGTAAAGAAGTGGGGCGTCCATTAGTGCAAGGATAAGATCCTAATGTTTTAAAACTTTTCTCGCAATATACCAAGTGAACAGGAACCATGAATTCGTACCAAAGCTTTGGATCCTAGGCATAAAACTCAAAAGCCAATTCTTTTGGCATTTGACACCAGTAATACAGTTACAAGCTGAAATAGTACAGAAATTCTCTTCACTACATACAAGGGATATAAATTTCATAAGCACGTCAGAAACTATAGTTGACATGGTTTACTGATTCATGCACGAAACTAAATTAGCTCATGAGTTTGAAGAACTTGACTCACTTGCAGCCAGAGTAGCGCTTTTGCAAATCCTCATACTTGGCTTTGCAGGCCTGCAATTAAGTATTTTTTGTCAAATCAGCATTTCATAGGGTAGAGGTATTAATATACTTAAAGATAAGGATGGTGAATACAAGAAGTCATGAAAGACAATGAGGCAGTTAAGTAAATTATTTGCATCATTTCTCATTGACTAGCTATGTAGTTCAGCATAAAGCTAAACCTGTAAAACTAGTTAGTCTCCTTGTACGATTGGTTTAGTGTATGTGTTCACTAATTACCAAGTATCATGTTTGTTATTCTTCTTATACAACGTTTAGTTTATCTTTTCATTAGCTACCAAGAAATTTTCATCTTTAACTATTACTCTTACAATAAAAAATACACTATTTTGGAGGATCCGACACGCACCTGGCGACATTTTTGGAGAGTCCGAGCAACATAGCTCATATCCGACCCGACCCGCCAGTTTACCACCCCTACTGATTGGCATAGGGACGTAAATGGGGCGGGGCAGGGCAAGCCTTAAAATTTTGACCCGCCCTGCCCTGTGCCGTTTAGCCTTTTGTCAAAATTTTACCCTGCCCCCCTCTCCTGCCCTATTTAGCCCTGCTCTGCCCCGTTTAGACTCTCTTTTATTTTGCAATATGCTTTTTATTTCTTTGACCTTTTCAACTTTCCATTGAAACAATTAAATTGACATGTCAATAAGAGTTGTTTATGCATATTGATTGAATAAAATATAATTTTTATCAATGTTGTATAATTTATAAAAGACTAAATTCCCCTTACATTGTGGTTTACATTGATAATTAAACGATTAATCAAAACGGCAGGTTAATGTTCTTAAACAACTGTCGGCCAAAATAAGCACCTAAAAGGAAATTATTCAGCTTCATCAACTATATCTTAATTGTGGTTTACATTGATAATTAAATGATTAATCAATAAAAATTTAACAGCATTGACCACAATCATTAAAGAAACAAATAAAAATAGCAAAATCAAGCTATATATAATCTGATGATGTGTGCTCGTAGAAGACAACTTTAGGGATGGTTTTCCAAGTCGGATCCAAAGTAAGAGCACAATAAAAAGAAAAAAAAAACACGGTTATCCTTTTTTTACCCGACCCAGATACTAACCCGGATCTTGCCCTGCCCTGTCCTATTAAAAATTTTCAAAAATTAGATTTTGCCCTGCCCTATCCCACCCCGCCCCATTTAAATGTCCCTCTGCCATGCCGCATTAGGAGTTTTCCCCGCCCCGCCCGTCCAGCCCCGCCCCAATTGCCATCCCTATATGGCAACCCTCCATATCAAAATAATTTTTTCAATTTAATGCTACTCAATTCGACTAGACAAAAGCGACAGACCATCCAATATAGTACTATTTATCGAATCCAACCAAAAAAAAGCTTCGTTAGCTTATTATTTTAACAGATGATTACCCCATATCAATTTTCCTTATCTTTGTCTGTTTGACCAAAAAGTGTTGAGTCTTTTAGTTAAACCAATTAATGATGACATGAGGGATTCTAGATCTAATGTTGAGGGATATCGATTGTACGGATAATGTCTAAAGGTAGTGAATATCATATATCATATATGAGTTCAATGATTATCAATGAATGTTGCAATAATATGAACATGCAATAAATGTAATAACTAGCAATAAATGTAATAAGATGGAGTTTATCACCTAAAGATAATGTGACTTGGATGATTCTCCCACCTGACAGCAACGTGGAGAGATGGGAATCAAATATGGATAATGGATTCTTGGATCTAACAAATGGAAAGTGAATAATATATCTTGGGTTCAGTAGTGTGAACAAGACAATAGTTGTATATTCTTCTTTTTCAACTCCTTACAAAAAGTGTTCTTATCAGAGGTCAAGATCCCTTTTTTGTTCTCTATCTCTTCCTATTTATAAGGGATATATCCCAGAAACCCTAAAAAGTACAAAACAAGGAATATCCAAATGAATATTCCTTGTGTCCATATCTAAATCTATCCTACCGTTATTTCTTTACCTTAGCTGCCCGTCGTTGGCACCAACCCTCTCGAGAGCAACCTCCTGCTATTACACCGCGGTCGACCCCGTACTTAGTCTCGTTTATTCATTACTACCAAGTCGCCAAATTTAGACCAATACATTGTCTAATTCACCTTTTTTTAGTTTTGTTACACATTGGAGATTTTTTATTCCATATTAGGTTTTTTACACCATATGTCTAATACTGTATAAATAGTTTTTACACCAACTATGTAGTTCTACGTGTTATAAGTCAGTCATCATGTTTCTTAAGTTACTTTTAAAAATTAGGAGATGTGCAAAAAGACTGTTACAAACTAGAGTCTATTTCTAAACATTAATAATAGTTGACGCAATTCCAATTTGTTATCATTTTAATAACATAAGGGCCTCACGAAATCCATTTGTACAAAAAAAAAAAAAAAAAAAAAAAAAACCCGACAGAAGAACAATAATTCTAACATAACGAAAAATCAAATACTACGTACGTTAAATTAAAAACAGATAAGGCAAACAATAGGATATTTGTCGTCAAATAATAATAGGGGCACTTAACGTAAATTAATGTGAACCTCAGGGGTGAAGTAATAAGGACAGATGGTACGAGAACGCAGCTCCAAAGCGACGACGTTCCAATCTTGTGTCCCATGCCGGAGAACAGCACCGCCTAGGATTAATTCCTCCCACGTACCCCACCTCCTTTCTCCTGACCCCACCACCATCCTTTCTGTCCTAACACGCGTACGACTGAGAACAGTTTGCTGTCCACGTGTACGACTCAGATGATGTGAAAGGTTAAAATCACCACCAAAATAAAGTTTCGAACTTTAAACTGATCAAGCTCTTGTACCACGCGCACCCTGCGCACGTTAGCAACAACCGCCGGTACCACGACGTCGGCCCTTTCTTGGACGAATATAACCGGAGAAAAAAAGAAGAAAAGAAAAAAAAGATGGTTGAATAGATGGAAATCAGAAAAAGATGACGAGAAACGGAGGGAGGAAAATAGGGTTAGTATATAGGAAAATTATACAAGGTTGAAAAGGTGTTTTTATTTTTATTATATCAAAGAGGTTTTTGTAAGATAAGAATAAGCGGGAGAAAAGGGGTTGACGAATTTATATGAAGAAGAAAGAAAGGAAAAAGGAGGAAATTTGAGATGGAAAAGAGGGTGAAAATGGTTTTTTAGAGATTTTTATTTGACTGAAAATTGTGTACTTTGAAAGTTTGGGGGTGAACATTGACTGTGAATTTAAATGAACCGAAAATGTTTCTAGAGTTTTCGAAATGACATGTATATCCTTACGTCTCTTGGTCAGCTATGAGTTGACACGTGGCGGTATTTGAAGGAAACGAATTAAATATACCAATCAATTACTGGCATTGATGATATCGTACTGTAACAATAACTAACTGGTGCTGTCAGTATATCTGGACGAGGTGTGATTATGACATTTGAATAAAGATTTCGCTGTCCCTTTTCTGAATTATTTTTCTTTTTTGAATCCGTATATTATTAAAGTCCTCTCCTTACGCCAAGTGGCACCTAAAAAAAAAAATTATATAGCATAAGTATTTAATAATTAGATATTTTATTAATAATCTATATCTATATATTATTAAAAGGAGAGGAAAAAGTCATCTCCTTAAGTCAAGTGGCAGTATAGAAAAAAACCACATAGCATAAGTTGTTAATAATTAGTTATTGATTATTATTTTTGAATTTAAATATTTATAAAATAATAAAATGAAATATTTTATAATAATAAAATGAAAATTTTAAGAAAAAAACTGTCCATATAAATTGGAGAGTAGTTTCAAGTTGGAATTTTTAAATTATTTTAAAATAAAAAACTAAAATTACATAAGATTAAAAACTGCCACTTTAAAATTTCTTTGTTTTTTTTATAATTTTTGTTTTTCATTTTAAAAATAATTTTTTTTATTTATTTAGAAAATATTATTGAGAATAATAGAATAAAATAGAAAATAAACATCTATATCTATATATTATTAAAAGGAGAGAAAAAAGTCCTCTCTTTAAGCCAAGTGATAGTATAGAAAAAAGCCACATGGCATAAGTTGTTAATAATTAGTTAATGATTATTATTTTGAATTTAAATATCTATAAAATAATAAAATTAAATATTTTATAATAATAAAAAAAATTAAAATAAAAATCTGTCCATATAATTGGAGAGTAATTTCAAGTTGGAGTTTTTAAATTATATTAAAATAAAAAACAAAAATTACATAAAATAAAAAACTGCCACTTTAAAATTTCTTGTTTTTTTAAGTAATTTTTGTTTTTCTTTTTAAAAACAAAAACTTTATTTATTGAGAAACTATTTTTGAGAATAATAGAATAAAATAAAAAATATGTATCTTGTATTATATTATAAAAGGAAAGCATCATACAAATTTTATAAATAAAGTAATATGGTAATAAACGTTTCTATTAACAACGCAATAATACCAAATATTGGATAATTTCTATATCTATATATTATTAAAAGTAGAGGAAAAAAACCCTCTCCTTAAGCCAAGTGGCAACCTAGAAAAAAGTCACATGGCATAAGAATTTAATAATTAGTTATTTTGTCAATAATCTATATCTATATATTATTAAAAGGAGAGGAAAAAGTCCTCTCCTTAAGCCAAGTGGCAGTATAGAAAAAAGCCACATGACATAACTTGTTACTAATTAGTTATCTATATGTTATTATAAGGAGAGGAAAAAGTCCTCCTTAAGCCAAGTGGCAGGATAGAAAAAACCGACATGGCATAAGTTGTTAATAATTAGTTATTTAGTTAATAATTATTTATTGGTTATTATTTTTGAATTTAAATATCTATAAAATAATAAAATAAAATATTTTATAATAATAAAATGAAAATTAAAAAGAAACTGCCCATATAAATTGAAAAGTAGTTTCAAGTTGGAGTTTTTAATTATTTTAAAATAAAGAAACTAAAATTACATAAAATAAAAAATTGCCACTTTAAATTTTCTTTGTTTTTTTTTAAAATAAAAAGTTTATATATTCAGGAAATTTATTGAGAATAATAGAATAAAATAAAAAAATATGTATCATCTATTATATTATAAAAAGAAAGTGGCATACAAAAATTTAAATAAAGTATTATACTAATAAAAGTTTCTATTAACAATGCTATAATACTAAATATTGTATAATATCTATATATTATTAAAATAAGACGAAAAAGTATTCTCCTTAAGTCAAGTGGTAGCCTAGAAAAAAGTCGCATGGCATAAGTAGTTAATAATTAGATGCCTATATAAGTCTCATTAATTTAATAGAGATTTTATTCATTAAATTTCAGATAATATTATCGACAACATTAGGATAAATTTAAAATAAAATAAAAATCAAGAGTAATAAAATATATATCTTCAGAAGATGACATCACCTTTATAGAGGAAGATGTTGATGGACTTGTTCTACCGTACAATGATGCTCTGGTAATATCTCTTAATATTTTAAATTTTAAAATTAAACGTGTGTTGGTTGATCCAGGTAGTTCAGCCAACATCTTACAATGGAGAGTTTTGGAGCAAGCAAAGTTAACCGAAAACATAGTTCCGTCAATAAAACTTTTAGCTAGGTTCAACCTAACAAGTATTATGACCGGGGGAGAGATTTTTCTGCCCAGGCATGTCGAAGGCATAACAAAGACCGCTCTGTTCGAAGTGGTAGATGGCGACATGGATACAACGTGATCCTTGGAAAGCCTTGGATATATAAAATGAAGGTTGTGTTGATAAGTGTGCATTTTAACCACTTATTAGTACCTTCTTGCTTTAGTTTTAGTTCGAAAGTGTTGATTTTTGTTCCCAAAACTAATGAAATTGCGTAAATTGCAGGAATGTTGGAGAATTAAACCTCAATGAACAAATCTAACCCAAAAAGGAGTGTTCCGGCTCATAAGGCAAGAAGGAGTGCAGCATGCCAAAAGTGCGGTCCGCAGAAGGAATTCTGCGGCCGCAGAAGAAAGTGTGGATCGCAGAATTACTTTTGCGGCTGCAGATCCGGTGCCTGAAGCTCAGAGGATTATTGGAAATGTGCGGACCACACACAATTTGTGTGGCCGCAAAACATAGTTGCACTGACAAGAATTCAAAAAGTTCAGAGAGTATACAAAACGACCCAGTGTGAAGCCTTGCCAAAAGTGCAACCACAGAAGGAGAAGTGCAGCCACAGAAGCTGAAGTGTAGCCGTAGACCAAATTGTGCGTCTACGTAAATCCTCCACCTGAATAGCCAAGAAAAGTGCGGACCGCACATGGAATTGTGCGGCCGCAGAACCTCCCGAATGGCATTTTTGTCAGCGAATTTCGGGCCATTATAAATAGACGAGAAACATGTTTTTATGGAAAGTTTTATAGTTTTTAGTGTTGTAGCCGTTATGCTTTACTACTTTGGGTAATTTGTGACCATTTGGGTGAAGATTCATTAGTTTTGGCAATTTAATTATGTATTATGGCTTTAATTAGTTCTTCTTCTTCTTCTTCTTCTTCAATTCCTATTATGAGTAGCCAGATTTTCTCTAGGATTGTGACCTAACCCTAGTGTGTAAACCTTATGGGTGATTAATCTAATACTTGTTTATGATTGAGTGTTTATTATTTAGTCTTGTTCATGCATTATTTCTAGAATTAATGGTTATAAATATTTATTCATGCCTATTTGACTTGGTTCTTAATTGAGAAAGAGATTAGTCTAGAAAAACTTGGCTAACAAGAAATTGGGCTAGTTAAGGTTTTGGCTAGCTTAATTAAAGGGTTTGAACTAGAGATAGAACAAAATCCCGACTTGAGCTCATATCAACTATTTGAATTGATACCTAATTGGGCTTGAGAAAACCAATTTGGGCAAAATCACTCTATAACCGAGAGGTATTGAGTGAGTAATTTAGAGTTCAGAGTTATAATACACCCCGATCACTAAAACAAGCATTAACATGATTTATCCATTAGGCTAATACCTAGGTGAAGGTTACATCCCTAGGCCTTTTACTCATTTGATAAAAGCAACAAAAATAATTACTCCCTCCGTTCCAATTTATGTGAACTTGTTTGACTGGGTAAGGAATTTAAGAAAAAATGAAGACTTTTGGAATTTGTGGCCCTAAACAAGTCAAAAAGAGGCCCAGAGCATTTGTGTGGTTATAAAAGCTTATCATTAAGGGTAGAATTGTAAGTTTAAACTGAATTTTTACCAAATTTAGAAAGGGGTCATTCTTTTTGGAACGGACCAAAAAGGAAATAGGTTCACATAAACTGGAACAGAGGAAGTACTATTCTTCTAGTCTCTTCCTTTTAGTTGATAATTACTAGTGTTAATCTTTAGAACTAGAAAACAAAATCCCTTATTTGGAAGCGCAATTAAGATTATTTCATCTACTCTCATCAAGTGTACACCCTAACACCCACATTAAACTCCTTGTGGATATCGACCCCGACTCTTGTTGTGTACTATTTTTACAATGATTTTTTCCAGTCATTATTGAGTGTGGATTGGGCGTGGATCAATTTTTGGCTTGGCGCACCGGTGAAAAAGCCTCGTTGCTCAAGAAAAGTAAGCATCGCATTGGTAATTTGAAAGTTGTCTGTGCTAATATGAGGGGGGACTATTGCACTAGCATAACCTCGTTGGGCAATATCCGGTGTTGTGCCGCTTGTGGTTGAGGTGGTGGAGCAAGAACGACGGCCAAAGTTCTTAGTTGTTGTTTTTGTTAGCCTACTATTTACAATGATGTAAGTGACTTAGTGAAAAGATATGATGAATGTCAACGGGCCGGTGGAATTTCAAAGAAAAATGAAATGCCTCTCACAACTATCTTGAAGATTGATATTTTCGACGTTTGGGGCATTGACTTTATGGTCCCGTTTGTGAGTTCTTGTGGAAAAATTTGCATCTTGGTTGCAGTAGATTATGTGTCCAAATCGGTGTCGAGGCCATTGCCTTACCCAACAATAAAGCGAGAAGTGTAGTGGCTTTCTTGAAAAAGAATATTTTTACAAGATTTGGTACTCCACGTGCAATCATAAGCGATTGGGGGCCACACTTTTGCAATAAGGCTTTTGACACTTTACTTGGCAGGTATGTTGTTACTCACAAGGTCACGGCTCCCTATCATTCACAAGCCAGTGGTCAAGTGAAAATCTCCAACCGGGAGATAAAGAGTATCTTGTCTA